TACGACTGTTTAGGGAGAGGGAGACGAACACACACACACCGGGACGCGTACTAGCAAGGTAAACCGTTAAGATGTCATGGGGATTGGGGCGTGTGACCGAGGCTCATCTCGAATCGTGACTCCTGCCGGCGGTTGAGAGGTCCATGCTGCATACCGGTTATAAAAGTGCGTGAGCCTTGCAACTCAGATGAGGTTAATGAGACGACTTGTAATGGTGCTCAGACAACTTGGAATGATACCCGGACAACATGAATTGTAAAAGTTATGAATAAAGGATTTTCCTAAGAGTAAATGGCATTCTCAGTTTCACTGCTGCAGCTACAACCATTATTTAAAAAATACAGATCATTGGCGATTTGTGTGTATCTTGAGCGAAGCTCCCGTACACAAGCGTGTACTCACCCAGTCTACCTGCGATACGTGCGTTGACTGCAAAGGAGATGGATGTTTTGGAGAAAGGCTAGTGAACGTGATCGACGTAGTCATTCAATACTGGACGGGTTGACCGTTACAGAACAACGCACACTGGTTTCTTAGAGTGGGAGACAGAATGCACAACAGTCCACTTTGAGCATGAGTGTTGTTGCAGCATTTTTATATTTTTTCTTATTTGTTTCATTTTATTGAATATTCAAAGGTACGCTTTTCACGAAGGCGGAAGTGGCCAATCAAAGGGCTGCCATTCAGCACACAATGGGGGAATTCAGGCGGTGGTGGTGGGATTCGAACACATCCCCGGGTTAATAATTTGGTGACGTTACCACTGGGCCACCACCGCCAGTAGTGCTGATGAACATAAACGCACAGACCCAACCTGAATGAGCAATGAAATGACTTTCAGGATCATGTGGTTCTAGGCCGGTGCTCCTTTTTGCGTAAGACTACCCACCACCAGACACGGGCTGCTCGACTGATTATGTAAGTAAACTGGCAAATGGGTTAGTCTGGCTGATCGAAGCACGAAAAAGGTCTATGTAATAAATGGACTAGGCATGGCATGATTGCGTTTAAGAGCCTGCAACCAGTACAACGGACAGGCCCTTGCGATCCAAGCTATTCAGACAAAGGTCTTAACAACGTGAATGCCACTGACAGGTGACAGAGTGACCGTAGCAATTTAAGTTCGGTCCCAAGTCGGGTCGATGAATTTGTAGTGTTAATGAGACCCACCAGGTCGATAAGGGTGTCCAGTGCTTTATGGCTTTTCACTTCACGCTTCATTTGCTCTTACAAGGAGAAATTAATCATATAAATCAATATCTGTCCGGTGACTTCCATAAAGTAACGTGTCAAATGGGTTCAATATTTTTAACAGACGGGAAAGGGGCTCATTGCTCAATTTATCTATTCAAAAGGTACAATAGCAAGAGAGTTGGATGTGGTAGCAAGCGAACTATCAGACAGAATGGGAGTCACTGTGGCATGAGCCGGTGAGTGGTCAGCTGATGATTCGTGTGTGTTTGGCCTCGGATCTAGGGAAAAGCGATCAGTTCTTCGTTTATCCGGTTGAGAGAATATTTGTAGGGCACGAAACAAATGCATCAGTTCGCCACGATGTAAGTGGAGACGTTTGATAAATGCATTTCGGGCCAAACGGTGAAGTCGCCATTGTCTGGGACCCAACAGAGCGTGGAATTTGCATTTGATAATTCCTGAAAACCGTAGTAAGATAACGTCACTAGTTAGAGTCGGGCCGACAAGATATAAACAGTGATATTGTTATTGGGTCGTCTAACTTCGAAAGCGCAACACGTTACTTGCAATTAAAATGACTACTTGATACCTTTTGCTGATGTTGGTGAGTTCTCTGAGTAGGAAGTGTTGTTCGCATGGGAGCACTTCCTGCTCGGAGAACTCACCAACACCAACATCCGCACCCCAAGCTACAATCATTCCACATCATTTCATACTCGATACGAAAAACCCATATGAGCCACTAAATGTCAACGTCTTTCGGAGACGGTGATAAGTTTGCAGACCAATAAAACCTAGAGCAATAACACTGAAAATCGATTGATTGCTCAGCTCCATGCGGATGAAATGAAGATTTTCCTCTGATCACAAATCCGAGGTACCTTGTAATCTAAATCAGCGATCTATCCGAGACAACTTAGGCTCAGATAAGGGTTTACCCGCACAATTTGCAATGGACACCAAAGCGACTCATCAGGGCACGGTTTACTTTTTTTAGATCAGTATCTCTAAAAATCCAGAGTAATGATTTATAAAAAGGCATAAATTGGACTTTCAGTTTCAACATTGCCGATAGAAGCATACATTTATGGGTTTCTTGGACTTAGCTTAGATGCACAAACACAAACGCACACTCCATTTGCCATTTCACGAATGTGCATGTGCATCTATGGTTTGACTAAGAGCACAGACAGCGGTCAGATTTTCAGAGGAAGCTCAATGGGCACAGTCAACGGAATTAACCGGAACTAAATGGAGCAACCGTTATCGAACACACTAGTTCCCTTTTCAGTTAGTACGCTGATTCCCTGGCATCTTGCACCCCACGAAATGCTCCTAAACCACCAAGAGTCTTAAATAACCTCTCCTGAGGAAACCCTACTCACTGTCTTCTCTTGGAGTTGTTTTCCGATCCAAATGAGAGGACGAAAAGCCAACATCCGGGGCTTTAACTGGGTCGGTAAACTACCGGCAATGCACCTAGGAGAGTTGGCTAAAAACCCTGATTTCAAACCAACCAAGAGGAGGTATACGAACCACGCATCCGAACCTTCGTCGTAGAGGCAGTGGTCACCGGCTCGATTGGGTATCGAGGTGTATTGAGAACCTTGGATTTTTGACCCTGTGCAGAGGTCGTATGATCCGATTGAACTGGATGCCTCCCTCCAGTAGATTGCCGTCTTCAGACATCACCCCGCTGCCTTGCGAGTGAGGCCTGATGTAACCCA